CTCCTGGTAACCGTGTTACTGGACGTGAGACAGTATCACGCCATGGAGTGACTTGGATTTTTCTAACAATTAGCCATGTTGGGCATCTTTCCATGTGCTTGGTCATTTCTCCATCATCTATGGAGAAATGTCTATTCAGGGCTTTTGCCTACTTTTCATCAAGTGTTGTTTAATTTTATTGAGTTGTGAATTCTTTATATATTTTGGACAGTAGTACCTTAGCAGAAATATGCTTTGGGAATGTTTCTCCCATTCCACAGATTTCTTTTCACTCAGATGACTGTATCCTTTGGTGCACAGAACTGTCAGAATACTTCTGAGGTGCTAGTGACTACATTTTGCAAAATCTGCTCCACTAGGACAAATGAAACAGAGTTTTCTGAGAATTCAGTAGCAGGAATGGTTTCTTCTCCCACGGACAACTAGTTTGCTGTGACCTTGTGGACGGCGATGACACTGACTGGCCAAAGTTCGACTGTGGAGCAACTGGAGCAGCAACCCAGAACCTCAAAACTGCGTTCTGTCCCTGAGCTTTATATTCAGCCTAAGTTCCATTCATTTCGCAATGACTTCCCTGTACACTTCTTTGAAATTTTCATAGTCTGGATGTTTTAACAATCTACATGAAATTATTTCTAGCAGGAAATTAGTGTTATTTTCAGTAGCTACTAAAGCCGTCTAAATTTTACAGAGAAGAAAACTAACTCCCATCATTTATAGATGATTTCCTGGAGGCCACATGGTTAGTAAATGGCAAGTGCCAAGATTTCACCAACGGCCTGTCTAGACTTTTCCATACCACTAGGATACTTCCATGGTCTGTGAACACAAATACACACAGGATGGGACAAGGAATGTCATCTGAAGCCGTCACTATACATTCCCAGAAATCACGAAAGGTGAGGTGGCTCTCTGCAGAGTGACCAGGGACAGCTGGAACTTGATGGATGGGTAGCAGTCAGAGCGGAGAAGATGACATGAACAGAAATATGGAACTGAATAAAATGTGACCTGGAAGTAGCACAGTCTGGCTACTTTACCCTTATATCCCTTGTTGGCAGGGTGCGGTGGCGCACGCCTGTAATCCCAGCACTCAAGAGACTGAGACAGGAGGATCACTGTGAGTTTGAGGCCAAGTGGAGCTACATAGTGAGTTCACAGCCATCCTGAATTGCATAGCAAGACTGCCTCAAGCAAGCAAACAAGCAGCTGCCCTATCCATTGTTGAGTACAGTACAGAGTATGAATACAGAAGAGGGGAAAAAATAAGAGGGTGAATAGAAAAGAGGATAAAAAAGCTTAAGATACAGATGGAGACCTAATTCTAGTCCTAAAAATCAGTGTTTAATTGGGAAGATAGCAGGGAGTCTAGAAAAAATTTTCCATCTAGTGGTCTTTCCCTGGACTCAGAAGCTGAGGTAGTAAGATACTGAAGCAGCTCTCTCAAGCGAAACCTGTAAGAGAGTGAGTGAGGAGGAGAGGAAGCAAGGCAGAGGTGTGGGTCCCTTTAACACTGCTCTCAGCCGGATGCCACTGAGAGCTTTGGAATGTGAACAGTATCTCAAGTGTAATTCAGTAAGCCACTGGCTGAGCACCAAACCAAGCATCGCTGGCCAGCATAGGTCCCACTAGAGAAGAGGGAGCTCAAAAGCACCCAGCACTCACAGCAGTTGAAGGCCAGGTCACATTGCCTTGGTGGTGAGGAGCTGAGCAGACACCAACCAGGGCTACTTTATGGCATTTCGAAGGGTGAATTAGAATCATAGGTGCCAGAGGAGTAAAAATATTCATGAAGAAGACTACCATTTGGGACAATGGCTATGTAGGCAGAACAATGACTTCTCAGTGGATTCCATGTTTTGATGCCTAAAACCTAGGAATATGTTACCTTACACAGCAAATAAAACATTGCAGGACTGAAGTTCCTGAGATAGGAAAAATCACATGGATTATCCAGGTGGTTCCAACCTGGCATGATTCCGTACACTGAAAGGTGCTTTTTGGCTAAAGTGAGCAAGATGAGGTATTGCTCACTCTAAAGATGCAGCAGCCTCCAGGGGTGTGAAAAGGCAAAGACACAGATTTCTGCAGAACATTCAGGAAGAAACACAGCTCTGACAGCAACCTGATGTTAGCTCATGGAGGTTTGTAGTCAATTTCTAAACTACAGACCTGTAAGTTAGTCAGTTGGTGTTGTTTTAGTTTGTTATAGCATCGTGGAAAGCCAGCACATTGGCTAAGAGAGGGAAATGCAAAGAATGATGTGTTATCATGGAGCTACCATAATTTTTTTTTAAATGTCCTTGATAATAACATTAAACTCTGTTTTATCTTTCATGGGAAGTAAAATTAATAATTTTATTGTGACTCATAAACTACCTTTAAAGACATAGAAAAATAAACAAAATGGCAGTTGAATTGAAATGTGACTGTAAAACACTATTTTATGAGCTAAGAACAATATGTATTTATTGAATTCTTAAAACTGGTAAGGGACCAAAATGAAGAAGCTGTATTTGTTCTTATTACTACAATGAAGACACTGGTGCAAAGTCAGCACAGGCTGGAAGTCATTATGACTGACTGCTTTCCAATAGCTGCTTGAGTTTGGCTATTTCTTATTTAGGAAAATTCATGACAGTAAGCTTCATGGTCACCAGAGGGTGCTACGGCACAGGCTCCTGGCTCATCAGAGGGCTCCTGAGGCACAGAACTGACAGAAAGTATGGCTCCAGAAGCCTGGGATTCTTTTGTGTTATCTGGTACCCTTGGGAAGCAGATATGAGAGTGGAGTCATAAAAAGATTATTTATGACAACTGCTGACATCTTCCTCAATAAAAATCCAAAATAATATGTATGGAATACAATCCAGCAATTTCTCTTAAGTTTTCAAAATTAGAAATAGTAGATAAATCAATGAAACTTATCAGCATGGTGACATTTTGTTAGCTGGATACTCTCTGTTCTAGATCGGAGGGAAAAGAGAGGGTATGAGAGAAGGGTTGGTCCCGAGGGTGGTGACTGACCATTGTCAGAGCATCCATAATTTATCCAGTGTGGATCACATTCTGTTCAGTCAAAACATAATGAAAGTTCCTTGGATCATCTAAAACCTATAACCAACTGAGATGTTGCAAGTCCAAGAACAGGAAAAAGGAGAGATGAGAACCAAGTAGAGAAACAATCCCCAAAGCCCAGGCAGTGGTCATGCGGTCAGGGCTTTGTGGCGTATATTGGAAAAAGCAGGTGAATCTAGAAATGATGATCATATAGTTGCACTTAAGAAGCACACAGGTCATAACTGCAAACGATAGGGTTACTAGGTTTCTGAAAATTGGAAGGAAGGTCATAACGTAAGGAGGCAAAGTATGCAAGACAATAAGGTCACTGAGAAGGGACCTAGAAAAGCTGAACAAAGCCGCAAGACCATGCCCAATTTTTATGTTTGTTGTTCTATACAATTAAGGTCTAGTTTTTCTGAGAGTTAGTACAGATATAAATTAAATTAAATTTAACATATATGATAGTTATTAAAGGGTCTTGGATTCAATCCCTAGCACCACAAAAAAAAATGCAGAGAGTAATATTCATGTATGTATTTCTTGAATCAGAATGCATTTTTATGGTACAAAATTCAAAAGTTGTATTTTGTTTGAGGGAGAATGTTAACTTCATTGTTTTTGCAAAAAAAAAAAACCACAATTTTTATATCACCTTTACTATTTTAAATGACATGATTTACGTGATCTCAGTTTTGTTTGTTATCATTCCCTATCTATTAATCTGGCCACCAAGCCAAATTTTAATACATTTTTTGTTCAGGCAGATATCTGGACTGATGTTAACCAAATATGGATGGCATCAATGTTTCCAAATACTACACCCTTTCTATATTCCTGATGCCAGATTTTTTCATAAGAACACAGATAACAACAGACTGAATGCACAAGCAGATACAAAAACCTGTTAGTTTTCACTGGTGCCAAACATTAAATAGATTTTCATGAAGTAATTGAGGCCACAGTCTTACTAATATTTTACTTTGGAAAATAAAACATTTGTATAAGTATGTGTGATTTTTAATGTAATGGTTTTAATCTCTGCTATTTTTACAATTATAAGCCTGTAAATTTTTATCAGTTTTAATTTTACAATGGCAAGTATTAATAGGTATATCCTGCACAAGGCAAAGCCTTTGGGGAGTCCTTTTAACTATTAAGCTTTAGAAAAGAATCATGAGACCAAAACATTGAAAAATTCTGCCTTAATGACTCCTAAAAGTATGGCTCTCAGTCGAATCTCTTTCCTCTGCACCAATTTATGTAAACATGCTTAATAGGCAACTCAAAATAATTTTGAAACAAATTCTTGGTTTTATCCCCAGTCTGACAAATTTGCTCTTTTCCTAGTTTTTCCCATTTTGCATCTGGTTGGGTGCTCCTTTTCCAACCCTAGGATTCTCATTAACTGACTCCTTCTACAACCGATTCATTAGCAATTCTACTGACATTCCTATTAAAATGCAATCCTAGTCATACCACTGTGGCAAGCTATCATAAATATCAATGCAGTTAAATCGCCAGCATAGTCTCTTGGCATCTTGGAAAATTAAAACAATGAAAAAACCTAAATGATTAAGGTTTTCAAAGGGTAGTAATAGAAAATTAAAAGTGCAGTATCTTTCATACCATCATCCAAATCTAAATAATTTACACAATATATTATTTTTCATTTTTCAATATAATTTAGTCATTAAAGTGATTCTGTTTTCTGTAACCAAATTTTGAAGGCCATGATGCAAGAGAATACGTGATATATACTTGATGAAATAATTTTCATAGATGAATATAAGCACGTAACTTTGAAAATTTTACAACATTAAGACCAAATAAATTATATTTCAACATTTTGTATATTTCCAAAACTTTTTTAAATATAGATGATGGATTAAAATGTAAGTTTTATATTTTCTTTTTATTAGATATATAGTTCAACTTACCTTATCAAGTTCATCTGAAATTGCAATACCTGGGATTAAAAGAGATTTATAAGAAAAAGTTTTAGAAACACTCCTTAATAACCTAATGTTTAAAAGAACAAAAGTTTTATCTACAAAACTAGTGCATTTTCTGTTCTGTTTTTATTCTTCGCATCAGTTCTTCCAAATATGGCAGCACATCCTTTCTACCAGTGAAAACCAATTAAGAATTTAAGTCAGCTCTCACAGCCGGGACCTGCGGAAACAATGCAGATGGTGCAAAGGAAACAAAACAAGTACCGTACTTCTTGTAGTTTGTTACAGGCAGAACAAACTTCGAAGCACAACTGTGGAAATACTGTCTCCATGTTACAATGACAATAAAATGCAAGTGAGCTTGTTACGGTTTTGTTCCTTTCAGTGACTTACACTCCTATAGTGAATAAATATTAAGATGGAATGGTGACTACAATGGCAAAATTTAATTTTTTTGTTTGGTTTAGGAAGAAACAGAGAGAATGTTTAAGGCCCTTTGACAGCTTCTGAGCGAGTGTTTACTTCTCTACATGGTGGTGACCAGTCAATCTTTATTACCAGCATAAACTTCATCCCGAGCATTTGGGCATTTCAACCTCAACATGTCAGACAAGGACACCATCCACCTGAGTCAGGACAGAAGAAGTAAGGACAGGTAAAAAGGGGACAAGGGATATCAGGATTTTAAAAATAAGGACTGCAGCTTCAGGACACAAGCCCAGTTTAAATTTCTTTTTTCTTTCTCCAAAATCACAATAAGCCTGGGCATTGTCCTTCTATCCAGAAATGGAATTTTTCCATTACCTTTTATGTACTAATGAAATAAATTGTTTCCTTTCACCCAAAAATAGCCTCTCCCTCTGCATGGGCTACAGTTCTACTATCTGTGAGGGCTGTCACCTATGAACAGGCTATCACCCTTCACCCACAGAAAGAGCTGTTACTGCCTTTCATGAGTAAACGGAAATCCTTCTCTCCATTTATTCACCAGCTATGTAGATTTTCACTCCCAAATCTCTTATAAGTATATCCAGACCCAGACTGTGATGCACTTCTCTATTAAGGGCCCGCATTCTATTTCTTTGAGTGTGTACTTCTGAATTTCTGCTTAATACATTTCCTTTATGCTTCTTACAGACTTGTCTTCACATTTTTTTTTCCTCCAACAGAAGTCAGAGAACCTGCAACTCATTCTAAGGGTAGGATGGATTTACTCATCCTCCTCACTGCTTTGGGAACCCCTCGTATGCCATCCTGTGATACTCTGGGCTCATTTTGATTTTATTTATTTTTTCTTGAAGAGTGACATGCCCAGGGCTGAACACAGGCTCTGTGGATTGGGTACTGGAGTAATCGTGGCCATCCTTCAGGTTGAAGGTAGAGGACAAAATGGAGCTGGTGTCAAATTTCCCTGGAGGGTAGGCCTGAAAGATTAAAATTGAAGTCCAAGGGAACACAGAGAAAATAAGGATAAGATTTCAAGCTGAACTTCAGTAGACTATAAAGAGCAAGAAGGAGTTGAAAAGGAAAACCTGAAAATAGTCTCCAGAAAATAAATCAAAGAAACTGTTCAGATCCCCTTCCCTGTTTAGATGTAAAATCCATGCAGAGGGTAGAGCGGGTACCAGTTTCTATCACATCTCCTGTCACCAGATGGAGGGTCTCCAGGGATTCTCTACAGGTTTTTGGTGTCTTGAGACACACAGAAAAGGCAGTGAAAGTGTACATTTATTTAAGGCAGAAAGGAGGTGCATTTTACAAGGCAGGAGCAGGCTGGTGAACAGACTCACAGGACCCAGAGGATAAAGGAAAGGGTCTTGTGTATCCAAAGTTCCTGGACTGGCTTCTCCCACATGCAGTTAAGGCATTGGGACATTTGGCAAAAATTTGCTCGGCCTGGAGCCAGATTAAACTGCTCTAGCTAAAGACTTGCTTGGCTCCCTGCCAGAAGTTAATGGAGAATTAAAAATATCACTTTTCTGATTGGTCCTGAAAACAACACCCGATTGAAAGGAGGGACTGAAAATACCGGTTTTCTGATTGGTTTTGTATACAGTACTTACGAGCCATAGACTCATCTTCTTTTTTTTTTTTTTTTTTGACTTTTGACACATTCTGCCCAGTTAGTTGTCCAGTTTGCCCCAGCCCTAATCTCCTACCTCATTCCCCACCCTACTAACCTAATGAATCAACTGTATGCAAAGCAAACAAAGAAAAACAAAACAAAAACAAAATCACATTTTTTACCTCACTAAATGGCATCATTCTTTTCCCTACTAGGGATAAAACCAGAAATGCAGGCATATTTGAGACACATTCTTCATAGCAGTATTCCATGGCATTTTTTTTTTTTTTTTTGATAAAAGTAACTAAGAATTTTAATGTGTCACAGTATGGACAGTCTGACTATCACTTCACAGGTGGGGCAGGTGGCTTAAGCTTAGCAATTATTCAGACTTGCTGTGCTGTGACGGAAGCTCCTTTAAACAATTCAAGAAGAGACTCTTGGAGCACTGCGTGGGAGGTGGGTCAGATCCCTGCTCAGTGTACCTCAGGGCAGGACTCTGAAACATGATACTGCAGTCAGGAGGAAATGTGAGACAGATAAGAGACCCCAGAACTTTCTGGGTAATGATAAACATTTCAAAAGACCTAGTAGAAGTCACGCATTCACAAATGTTTGACTTTTAAAAATTTATGAAGCTACACATGATCACTTTGAATAACGCAAATTTTACAAAAATGTAGGAATTTTGACATACCACATGGTTTATGTCACACTCTGCAGTACTTTTAAATACAATATTCCAGTTCATGAAAGACAAACAGGTTTTAAGTGCTTATATTTATAGTAGTACATCTTACAAAAGTGTTTGCTTCCAATATAAATTCAAGGCTGGTACTGCGTTCTTATTTAAATGTAAATATTTAAAGAATTGGTCCATTTAAAGAGACAGGATAAGATGAAATAAAATTCTCTTTCTCATTCTAAATCACAACGTTTATATATCTGGAACTAAATAACCCATGGTTCAACTAATTAAAATATTTGAGACTCATGAGTTTTAAAAATTATTGCGCTAATGTCCTTAGACTTAAAACGAGACATTGCTTATTCGATTTTTAGAAAGTTCTCAGTTAATTTTTAAATGTTTTTTACACTTCAGATTTATGAGTCCATTATTCATAAAGATAATAGCAATAAATTTATTTATCTAAAATGTAGCCAAGAACTGGCAAGTACAACAAAACAAAACAAAAATGTGAGTGGTAAAATGTATACCACATACCACCAGCTTCTCTCAGTTACAGGAAGCTTTATGAGGTGTTAGCTATCAGGGCCGAAAACCTTCAGTGATATAAAATGAAGATAAAGTGATGCTTCCCTGAATACACATTTTAGTAATAGTTATTTGCCAGAGAAGAAAACTCAAACTAGTTAAATGCAAACCTTGGGTTGAGGAAAAAATTATGCCCCTCATTATTCCAAGTGTTTGGTCTGAGTGTATTTTGATCAAATATCTATTAGATTTTTTCTTAAATTTGCATATTTTAATGACTTTGCCTAAGAAATTATCCAAACAAATCTCCATTCTATTATACATAATTATTTCATCTTTCTATTCTCAATGTCAAAATGCCTAGGGTATTTTTTACTTTTTTATTCCATTTTTAATCAAAGTTTACACTCATTAAAAACAGCTGAAAAAATTGTAATGAAACATTTCTTCACAGAAGCATGAAGCTCTAGTGGGAGTCCTTTACACTGATTACCCTGAATAGTCATCCCAGGGTCTAGCAGAACGTCCACAATTATTCCCTGAGAAGAAATGAACAACTTTTAGGCATTTATTGACTCTTGAAAACCATCACAGTTTATGCTGAGATTTTTAAGTTTTATAGAGACTTGGACTCTTTCATAGCAGAAAAGATGAAAGAAAAAAAATGTAGTGAGTTGCTACAAAATATAAGAAAATAAGGCCAAGGATTTAGTGTGGGACCCTTAATTTGGAGGAACACATGGTTCTTGTGAAAGTCAAACCGAGAGCTTAAAGGAAATGTCCTACCAGAGAAGCCGTAGGAAGCATGGCTTAGAGCAGTGGTGGTGTTCAACTGAGGAGAAAGCACCCTTGAAGAAACGGGGGAAGTGAATGATTTCAGAGTCAGCTTCTCTTCTAGATAAAGAGGCATGTCAGGGATGTATTTCCTAATTCTGCTGCCACTGCAAACTGATCTAGATAGTTTCTACTTGAATCCTTCAACTTCTGGGCTTTCTTGTTTATTTTAATCTCTAAAAAGGACTCAGCAATGTCAGAAATTTATGACAGAATACAGTTCTCACATCCTCAAATGTGTGCTGTGTTCTAGCATGGAAACCCGAGCTATATGCTTCACTAAGACTTGCATCTCCATTACTTCAGTCCTAGAGGGAGAGTAAGGTGATAGCCATGAGAGATAGAAGCAGCAATTCTTCACCATTTTCTACACCTTAGTCAGTGTAATTTGTTTCCTGGAAGTGGTCAGAAAAGCCAAACATTGTGAAAGCATATTGGCTATTTCTCTAAACTCTATTTCCTTACTGGAGATAAACTCAATGATAGTATAATGTAAAGGATTAGATTCTCCTAATTATTTCCCCTTCAAAAGGGCCTAGCTTCCATTGTGAAATAAAACACACACATAGATACAGAGTATATGATACAAAAATATTGATTTTGTAATACAGGCATAATCAGATTGGATTATGAAAAGTAACTCCACACATTTCTCCCCAAAGACTCATTCAGTGATGTCACATTCATAATTTGAAATTAACCACAGTGGGAGTACTTACACCATGGAAATTAACAAATACTACCAATTGGGCTTATGTTTAGAGTCCGCTCATCCCGCTAAGTATAATAAATAATGTTATCACAAATACCTGTGTAAATACCACGCATAGCAACAATGGAGTGACCACTGGTAAATAAAACTTCCTGTGACCATTTGTCAAGCAGACTACCAACTGCTT